TCAAGTACCAATAAGAATATCAAAAAATATCAAAGAAATAATTATAAATAAATAGATAAAAATAGAAATAGAATAAAAATCATAACTAAAAATAACTATCCAATGGTAGTAAACACTATTTTTATCACAATATGAAAAGAATATTAGAAGAAGCAAGAATATTTTATAGAGTAAATAACTCTCAGATAAATTAGTTCTCGTTACTATTAACAACTCCAATCAGTATTCAGAATAAGTCCAAGCAGGAGTCAATAAAGAAATAGTAAGAGAATTGGATAGAACCGAACAAGCAAGATTTCTGGGAATTTAAACAGGCAATTAAAAAACAGCTATTGAGCTTAAAAAATAGATGTTTAAAGAAATTAATATGGTTACTAAAGCCCTGAAGAATAAAAAGCTAATAGACAAACAAGCTCTTTACATTTTAAATAAAGGGTTAATACCAAGAATTGAATTCAAAATGTAATACAGTATACTATCTTGAAAAATGTGCAACACCTTAACAATAGTATACAGAAAACTGTTTAAAAATAAGGCTATATTATGTCAATTAATACCCAATAGTGTAATACATTATCCCAAGATTCATAACTTAAAGAGTGTTTGGATATTACAGAAAGAAAACCAGATAACAGGATTGTATAATAGATTAAATAATCTAGAACCAGCCAAAACTATAACAATTATTAGACTCAAGCAAACACAAGTTAGATACTGGGAGCCTGTCAATATACTTATATATAACTCACTAAATAACATTTCAGAAAAAGGTAATTTCTCATTGCAAGTATTGAAGCTGACCAAGAATATAGGTATGACCTTTTAAAGCTGGAAATAAAATGATGTTTTCAAATAGAATCAAGAAAATAGTTCAATTAGAGAATATTTATCAATAGAAGAGTATAAGAAAGCAATTTCATCACTCAGAAACAATAAATTAATGTATATAGACCAGCTAGTTGACTACAAAATAAGAGAAATATGAAACTGGTGAATACTCCAACTGTTACAAAAAATAAACAAAGGATCTATTTCAGGATAATATCTATTTATAACTGAGATAATATAAAAAAACAAATTAAAATAACTTATAGAATCCTAGAAAAAAGAATGAATAAAATAAAGCCTAGAACATCCAATTTTCAACATCAACTTTAATAAATAATAGAAACTCTGGATAATTACAAGAAGCAAACTTCAATAGCAACAAATAATTTGAGAAAAATTTATTCTAGATAATACTTCAAGACAGCTTAAAATAGAGTACTTTGAATATATCAGTCCTGTTAAAATCAAGAAACAAAGCTAGCCCAGTGTCAAAATTGCACAAAATATATAAAGATAGAAAACTGATGTATAATTGAAACAAATATAAAGAAAATACATATGGTTCCCTATCTCAATACAAGAAAGTTCACCAAAAGATTCCAATTATGGAAATTCCAAGTTCCAAAAAAGCATTAAAAAGTATGATATATAGAATAATATATAATAATCAAGTAACTATTCAGAATAAAAAAGTATTATAGATTAAAATAGAGAATTGAGAAACAAATATTATCAAAGATATGTTGAAAAAAATGCCTATCAATTCCATATGATCAAAATACTCAACTGTAATAAACAAAGAAAAGAACCAATAGTATTCTACTTCAATAGATTTCTTATAAACCACGGAAGTACAAATATGTGAATGAGAGCAGTATAAATACAAATAGGAGAAACAGGAAGAGAAAGCAAGTTCCAAACTAGAGTAGAGGATTGGTCTTCATTCACTAAAGCAGAATTAATAGCAATAGTTACTATACTATTAGTAGCCTCAGTAGATAGCAAGATCGAGATTTTATAGATAGTCAAGCTTGCATCTCGAAGTAGAAAACTATAAAAAAGAAGAACCCCAAAATGATCTATAAAAGATGATTAAAAGAACAAAACTGATTCCTATAGATATATATGTTGGATCTCGTAAAGAAAAAAAAGCTGGATCTCAAGCTTACCAAGGTTAAAGCATACTCTAATATCCAGTATAGTGAAGAAGCAGACACTCTGATCAAAGAAGCACTAAGATTTCCAGTGATAAAATAAAAAAATTGATTTTGCTTAAGATAATCATAGAAATTAAATGGTAGAATATAGTACTAGATACCCCTATAAGACAAGCTATTAAAAAAATTAATAACAAAGTAATAGCCTACCAATGGACAACTCAAGATAGAATTAAAATAAAATGGGATTAGCAAATCAAGACCAACACAAATATATATGTGACCTTATATAGAAACATTTTAATAAAGGACACATAAGGAACACTTTATTTAAAGCTCACAAAACAAAATCTTTCTCACCAAATTAATCAATAATGAGCTATCAACATTAACGAAACTGACTATAAGAAGACTAGATCTTTAAAAGCATGTGAAATGTATTATGTATAACCAGGAAAAGAAAACAATAGGACACTTGCTAGAATGCCTAACTTATAAGACTCAATAGAATGAGGTATGACAAAAAAGAATAGAAGGAGTTTTAAGAAAGAGTTAAACTTAAGAATGGATAATAGGATAAAAATAGGAAAAATCGACAAACAAATAGCAAAACTGGTAAAAATAATCTTAAAAATTAGTCAAGACATACTCAGCTTTTGTATGGAACTAATAGAGGAAAAACTAGTTATCAAAATAGCAGATTTGATATGTTATGACAAGATAATTGAAAAAGAAACAAGAAAATAAATAACAAAGATGTAAGAAAAAGTATATAATCACTTTCGAAAGAAAATATGGAATACAAGATGTAAAAAGATAATTGAATGGAAATAGAAATTAGGAATCTATAGATACGTTAAGATAAAAAGAACATTATATCTACAAGACCATGAAAGAAAGAGCAAAAGAACAGAAAGTCAATCCAGTGAAAAATTGATATATGAAGAAAAAAGAATCAAAGTCAAGAAGTTGAAAGAAATCCTATTAAATGGAGTAAAATATGTTATAAAGTGGTTGGATTTTGATTTCTATCAGAGCTCAAAAGAGTGATCTGCAGTAGTAACTTGCAGGCAATAATGTTAGAAATTAGAAGAGTTTTTACTTGAATCTCTAACAGTGTGATAAATTACTCTTGAAGTTGTACTTAAAGAGGTAATACAACCAAAACAAGTAAGTTAAAGATTTAGCTTTAGCATTTCATTTAATATGTACAACTTACAAATATTTAATAAAGCACACATAACTAACCTAATAGAGGATTTAAAAAAAATTTTTTTAATTTTATTAAATTATAAAACAATTAAAAATTTCACATTTACAGTATATATAATGAAACCCTTAAATTCCTGTTTTACTTATCTATATGATAAAAAGTAATGAATCTATAAAATCTAGTAAATTGTTTTAGTAAAAAAGCAAAGCATCTTATATAATTTGATATTCAGCATCCTAAATGACATCACATTCTAAAAATATTTATAACGTGTTTATAACAAGCAAAAGTGAATAATGATTCTTTTTTTTTTTTTTTTTTGAGATAAAATGAATTCTGTCTACTAAATCCACGGAAAAAAACTAAAGAAAACTATACTGGCATCTAATAAAGCATACTCTCACCAGTCCCTAATCCTAATCCTCTTAGTAACATCCACAAAAAGCTTCCTGCTGCCAGAGGTAAAACAAGATTATCATCCAATCCCCACAAATCGATCAACTCGCTAGCTCCACCAATTATTCCCGTTAATAATACCAATAACGGCAGTGACAACACACTTCTCTCTGGAATCCAGCTTCTTTCGTCGATTACTAGGTTCGCTTGGTCATGCCATGTGGATACTTTACCCCAAAATATCAAAGCTGCAAAGGATCCAATTGTTATTGCTCCGAGTGTACCTGCCAATGATTTACCGTTCCTTAATTTAAATGTATGTTGGCCATACTTTCTACCAAAGAAGGATGCGGCGGTATCACACCACGATAGAATCAATATTGACATGACGGCAATGTCCTAATATTACGTAAATGCAAAAAGTGAGAAAATATCTTCAGAAGGATAAATATTTCTACATAAAATAGCAAAGTATGATATTTATGTGGACAAAGTATATTTACTTTCGGAAATAATGATAAACTGCCGATACACCCAGCAAGATAGAATACGACACCATTGATCTTATATCTTTTCTCAGTTTCTCGCATTAAAAACCCCATTACCTTAATGTAGAGGTTATTAAATGATGCATTGTTAAATCGTAAGATATCAGCAACTAAGACTATCGGAAATGCTACGAGTAAAGTGTTACGAGCTATGACTGGATCCGTCATTGGGTATAAATACAATGTAATGAAACCTAAACGTGCAAATATAACATTAGAGTTACTCCATTAATCTCAAACTATGACAAAATCTTACCTATGATCGAATGCAAAGCCTTCCTTGGTATTTCCCAATCTTTAGCGATATTCTCTTGTGCCTTGTTATTGTCACCTGCTGTGTCCTTGTTTAGCAACTGCTCGGTTTTCAACGATTCATCTTTTTTTTTCCAATCATTCAACTTTTGTTTGACATAACGATTTCTTTGTACAATGTTTCGATGTATGGCCATTATTCCTTCTAGTTTATTCTGAGTCTACGGAAAAAAAGAAGCATTACAGGAGATTATAATCGGCAATTATCATGTGATAGTTATCACTAAACGCATCGGACAAAACAAACTTGACAAAATAGGAAAATAGAATGCAAATTAGAATCCATATATAGTATATATAATGTTCCTGTCAATTTTTTTTATATTATATTATAAATTAATAATTATTACATTATATTGTATTTTTATTAAAATTTAAAAATATTTACAATAGTATATAAATTTTTATTTAATAATTAATTTGTTATTATATATTATTTATTTAAGAATTATATTACTTAAAGAATATAAAAAGTTTGTTAAATTAATTTAAATAAAAAATATATATATATAAAGTTTATTAAATTAATTTAAATAAAATAAAATAAAGTTTAAAATAGAGAATTATATTTTATTTTTTTAATAAGTTGATTTTAAATCTTTATCTATCAAGCTTATAATTAATAATTTATTACTATAAATTATTTCAAAAATAATAATTTTTTAAATTGATAAACTAAAAAAAATAATAATAATAATAATTTAAATTTTGCAAAAGATTTTATTTAAATAAATAATTTTTTATCAAAAGAAGTTTATTTAATTAAAGTCTAGTAAAAATCTAAAAAAACTCTTTCCACTGATCTTCTGATCACACACAAAAAAGATGTTTACAAGAAGTTTTTATACTTCTTTGTTAATAAAATCTTAATACTTTTTTTAAAACAACTTAAAGTATGATTTCAAGAATCACTTCTACCTTTTCTTTTTTGTTTATAAACCTTTTCACTCAAAAACTTGACTTCTAATAACCAAAAAAAGTCAAGTAACACCTTTGATACCAATGGCAAGAAAGTTCCCAAAGGAAAAAAAATTGACTGTAAAATATCTGAAGATCTTTCTAAACTTTGAAGCAGGAGGCATATGGAAATTTTTGATAATAAAAAGTCTTATTTTTTTTTCCAACCACTTGTAGGTCTCTTAGAACTATTGCTTTCATAGTTTTCTAGGGAATTTTGCCTACTTCAATTTGACTCTGAATTTTGGGTAGCACAAATTTTTACCAAAGGTAATTGACTAACATAAAATATGTTAGTTTTTGGAATGCAAACAAGCTTCTATTGATCACATTCACATGTTCTAATAATATTATTGGTGATTGAAAAGAAGGTTCCAGAAATGTTTGCATCAAAAAGCTCAAGTTCCTTAATGAAAACTTCCGTGACATCAAAAGAACAAGTAATAGATAATGTGGATTACAAACTCTTATTTCTTATTTAAGTTTCACAAATAGTGACAAAGATTTAATGAAAAAAAACTAAGGTCTAAATGCTTTTCTTGAAATATTTCAATCTAATGTCCACTTAAATGAAAGATTAGTTAAATTAACTTATTTGATATCACAGATAGTGAAAAAGAAGATTTCTTCTGAGATTCAAATGAAGAAAGAAGCCTATTTCAATCAAACAGTTTTCTTTTGAAAAGATTTTGTTTTTATTTTTAAATTTTTTGGTAGGTCTTTAATTATTCACTTTTCCCAATTATTTTTTTCCATTTCCTTTTTAACTTAACAATTTATTGGTTTTTGGACAATCAATAGTAACAAACTATTGGTAATGATCCTGATAGCTAAAGGTTATTACCAATCTACTAGGGAAGTATAATATTGTCCCCAAAATCTGACTTAGGGTATTTTTGTATAAAGATATGTTAGTTACTTTGTAAAAGTCTATAAAATATTATAGATTTATTTCAATTTTTTAATAAAGACAAACTATTGTAACATGATTACATGTTAAAAAAAAAAAAAAAAACTATTTAATTAAAATATTTTTTGACTTTAAACTATTTAAAAATTTTAAAACTTTTTTTGCTAATTCTTTGACCATATACAAAAAAGATGTTTGCAAAAAGTTTTTTCACTTTTTTGCTAATAAAGTCTTAATACTTTCCTTAAACAACTTGAAGTATGACTTCAAGAGTCAGCTCTATCCTTTCTCCTTTGTTTATAAACTTTTTCACTAAAAAACTTGACTTTTAGTAATCAAGAAAAGTCAAGTAATACCTTTGATACCAATGGTAAGAAAGTTTCCAAAGAAAGAAAAACTGACTATAAAGTACCTAAAGGTCTATCTAATCTTTAAAGTGAAAGGTTTATAAAGGTTTTTTGCAGTAAAAAGACTTATTTTCTTCCTTTTTGACTGTCTTAGCCCTTTTAGAGCTTTCACTTTCATAGTTTTTTAGGAAATTTTGCCTACCTCAATTTGACCCTGAATTTTGATTAGTATAAATCCTCACCAAAGGTGATTAATTGATATAAAGCATGTTAGTTTTTAGAATGTAAACAAGCTCCTATTGGTCACATTCACATATTTAGATAATATCATTGATGATTAAAAAAAAGTTCTAGAAACGTTTGCCTTCAAAAAGCTCAAGTTCCTTAATGATGACTTTTATAACACTAATAAATCAAGTGATGGTAATGAGGATTGCAAACTTCTATCTCTTACCTAAGTTCCTCAAGTAATAACAAAGCTTTAATAGAAAAAAGTTGATATCTAAATGTTTTCCTTAAGATATCACAATCTGATGCTCACTTAAATAAAAGACAAGTTGGGTTAATTCATCCAATGCTACAGATGGTAAAAAAAGAAGATTTCTTTCAAGGTTCAAGTGAAGCAAAAAGACTATTTCAATCAGGTAGATTCCTTTAAGAAGAAGTTGTTTTTATTTTTGGATTTTTTTGGTAAATCTTGAATTGGCACCTCTTTCTAATCATTTTTTCTCTTTTCTTTTTTTAACTTAGTAATCCATTGGTTTTTAGGCAATCAACAGTAACAAATTGTTGCCAATAATCCTGGTAGATAGAGGTTATTACAAATCTATTAAAGGAGTGTAATATTGTTCCCAAAATCTGACTTAAAGTACTTTTGTATAAAGATGAGTTAGTTACTTTGTGAAAGTCTGTAAAATATTGTAGATTTACTTTATTTTTCAATAAAAACAAACCATCATGGCATAATTGTAGATTAAAAAAAAAACCATTTAAAAATTTTATTTATTATTATTAAATACTATTTAAAAGACTTATTAAAAAAACTTTTAAATTAATTATTATTATTAATATTATTGATATATAATTATAGTTAATAAAAACTTGTTTATATATATATATATTTTTTGTTTACCCATAGTCAAATTAGATCGTCATAGCAACAAACACCTGATCTGGGTCAAGTTCTCACAATAGTAGCCTGGAACAAACAAACTATCGATATCAGTATTAGAGATTTTCTTAAAAAATGGAATGCTAAGAAAATAGGACTAGCTTGGACAGAGCAAAAATGTATTCAAGACCGATGGATACACCCTAGTAAAGAAATTGATTGGCAAATTTTTTGGTGACAATTCAATCTATACAATACCTTTACACCTCCTTTAGTACCAATAAGGACAAGAGTTTCCTAGTAAATCTAACTCATGATGAGCTTCCTACCCTTCAAGTGATACAGAAAAGAAAACCAGACTTATATTCAAGCACAATTTGTCCATGTGCAATTTACAAGAGGAAACCCTGAAACATCTTTTCAAATATCCCAAGACTCAAAGTGAAAGATCAGTTATATGAGACAAATCTCAAAGTAAAATCCTTCAGTATATCAGAAAAACAAAAAATCTATCTGACTAGAGCCAGGCAGAAGTTAAAAAAGTAACAGGGGAAATGAATCCAAGACATTAAACAATAGGATGAAAGCTTATATAATACAATCTGTGGCTTTATACATAGAAACAAGACCAAGATCCTGGAAAAGTACCTCAAAGCCCTCAAGATTCCAGCAACAACAACACAAGAGGCTATTGGTAAATTTTGTAAAAAAATGAGGAAGACCTTCAAAAAAGAAGTCTGGAACAAACATTGTAGCATTACTATCGAATGGAAACAAAATCAAGGAATTATCAGTAAACATAAAAGGCTTGGAGTAACAACTGATATGACTAGAAAAATGGATTGAGTCCTTAAGGAAGCTAATTACTCCTCTATTTGTCCCTCCAGAAATATAATAAAAGAAAAAGAAAACTCAGAATGAATAAAGTCCCAAGGCAATATAGTAGATATAATAAATATTTGAATATTCAAAGATTTTAAATGGTTTGGTTTTTAATCACAGTTAAAACTTTGGGAGATCTACAGTAATGAGCTGTAGACAATGATCTAAGTGGTTAAAGAATAATCCAAGTCACAAAGGGAGCAAAATATCATTCCCTAAGTTGCATCTAGAGAAGGTTAAACTTTATAGATGGATGAGTCAATATGTGAAAGTCATAAAATATGTAAATATCAAATATGTTTACAATAAAATAGACAAGCCATATTGGCCTGACTGCAGGTTAAAAAAAAAAAATAAATAAATAAATAAATAATATCAATTTATAATGAATAATAATTCTTTCTGCTGATCTCTTGACAATATACAAAAAAGATATTTACAAAAAGTTTTATACTTTTCTATTAATAAAGTCTTATTACTTTCTCTAAAACAACTTGAAGGATATTTTTAAGAGTTCTTCCCAATTTTCCTTTTTTGTTTATACTCCTTTTCAAACAAAAACTTGACTTCCGATAATCAAGAAAAGTCAAGAAACACCATTTTTATCTATAACAAACAAGTTCTAAAAAGAAGAAAAACCAATAATGAAGTACTGAAAACCTATCTCCTGAAGCAAGAGTGTAACTAGAGATTTTTTGCAATGAATGAATAGGTGAACAAAAGCTTAAATCATAAAAATTTCCTTCCCACTGTTTCTACCTTTTTAGAATTACTTATTTTTCAGAGTTTTTTGGGGAATTTTGCCTATCCCAGCTTGATCCTGAATTTTGGAGTAATACAAAATTGATATAGCTTTTGCTAAAGGTGATTGGTTGGCACAAAACATGTTAATAGCAGAATATAAATAAGCTTCTACTGGTTACATTACAT